TTAGTTACACGAATTCAGATATAGAGCTTTAATAAGTTGTACTTACACACAATCTACTTGCAATCTTGAGTTTTAAGTAATATGCATTAATAAACAGTACTTTATGCATAAAATGTGATTTTTAAGAGTTTTTGTCAAATGCTTTATAATATAGTATAGATTACTTTTAAAGTTACCTTTTCTTTTTTACTTTAAACCTAACCATTATAAAAGAATAATGATATTATTGGGAATGTGATTTTTGAAGATTTAGGGGTGTTTGGGATTTTGCTTATTTGAAACAACTTATGTTTTTCTACAAGAGTACTTATAAATTTATTATAAATTAGATAGGTTAAACTTATTCAAAAACTCTTTATCACCGGTTTGACACCGGTGTAAGTTATTTATCCAAACATTTAAAAATGCATATTACCGGTGCAACACCAAAATAAAGTCAATAAATTATTTTTATAAGTAATACCGAACACCCCCTTAGAATAGTATTCCAAAAAACTTCAAGATTCTTCAATCTCTTGTCTTCTCAAAGTTTTTAAAGATGACATCACATTAAAATACTAGTAATGTCAGTCTTTTTTCAACTCTATCAATCATTTCCAAAAATTATCAAGTTATTGTCAACCACAATAAGAAAACAACGATTTGATAACATTTTAATCCTCATTTTGATTGACAGGAAAAAAAAAATGCTTATGTGCTCACTGAATGATGGTGTAAGAAAATTTCAGGATAGTCAAAAAATCTTTCATCAACACGACAAGATGCATACGAGAACATATTAAATGCAAATTACTTATTTTCTTTTATAATCATTACAAAGTTTGCATCCACATTATGAATTCCAAATTTCTAATCCATATCAATATATCAATGTTTGTATTAATTCATAAATAATTGACTTTTTAAACTGAAAATAAACCCTCAAAATAATTTAAAAGAATTTGGTAAATCTTTTGACTTTCTTCATATACACTTATAATTACATCCATGTCCTCTCCAAAAAAATTATACTTAAAAAACGACCGAATGAACATGGATTTTTGGGTTAATACGTGTAAAATACTGTATGCTTTCTATACACAACTCACATTTGTGCGCGCACACACACACACACACACCCATATATATATATATATGGTTGAGTTCACGTGAGACTAACGGTTTTTCGTGAAACTTGTAAGACCAATTTATGTTTATTGATCAACTTTATAAGCTAATGATCTAAAGTTGCACGATGACAATTTATGTGATTATTGAGAAGTCGCATGACAATTTTGTGATTATAAATGTTCAGATTGTAGATCTAATCCAAGAGTTAAGAATTGGTCTCACGAAAAACTTTTGGTCTCACATGATCCCAAGTCTCTCTATATATATATCAATTCAGATTTGACGACTTTATGATAAGAGAAAAATATCTTTAAATCGTGGATATATTTTTGTATTATATTAGAAATAATAAATAAATGATTAATTAATTAATAGTTGTTGAACCCAACCTAGCTAATGGCTCAAGAGGTCGCTCTTACTCTTGGCATCAGAATCGCCACAAACGAACTCCATGGGTGCGGCTTCATCATCCTCTATGCCACTGCATCTCGTGTGCCTCCACACCTGGCATTCATCGCACGGTACCATCCTCTCAACATCATCATCGCACCCACAATCCACCCTTGATTCTACCGCGTATCCATCTCCACCTTCGTACCTCAGCGTCGTACCCAAGTCCAGCCCACACCCTCTAACCCAAACCTGCGCCCCAGCCTCCACTGCGCAAGATAGCACCACCTCGTCCCGTATTCCTTTCAACCCGCCAATTTGACTCACTTCAAACCTGTCCATGATGCAGTATGTGTCCCTCAGTGCGCACTGCGCCACCTCCCTCAGCTGCCCAATTGTCATCCACGGTGTCACCATTACCAGCTCGCCAGGTGGCAGTGGACGAGTCAACTCGGTTTCCAACTCGTCAAAACTTGGTAGAATCCGGCAGGTTAATGTCATTAGCTGCTCATTTCCCAGCCCAACCTCCCATTCTTTCACGAAATACTTGCTGTTCAAGACGACTCGGCATGCTTGACTCACCGAGTTCCACCAGGGGTAACCCAGTAAAACGTTTCTATACAGAAACAAGACATCTCCATAAGCATCTCCCTCTTTTTCAAAGCCAAATTCTTCACAGTTTTGGTCTCGAATCTCGAATTCCATCAATCGGGTTAGTGGGTTTTTCATGCGAGTAACGATTTGCTTCCCGATAACCGAATTATCGATCGATTTCAGTACGAAATCGATCAAACCCGTGTCTCCAACGTACTTGCTAGCCATATTCCGCAAATCTTTACGCGACATTGCTCCATTTCTTCCGTTACTCAAAATCTTGTGTTCTTTCAGAATGTTTGCAATCACTTTAGCAGTCTTTTCGAGCCTCTGCTTAGGCCATCGTGGCTCCAATTTCCACAGCGATGATACAAATTTCACCGTCTTGGAATCCTCTGCCACCTCATGAATCTCAAACTCGACCAATTTGGTCAACGAGTTGACCATTCGACGAATAACATAATTTTCAAAACTCAAAACATTGATCGATTTTAGCACGAAATCAATCAAACCAGTATCTCCAACAAACTGTCGAGCGCTCTCCCTCAATTCATGCCTCGACATTGCATTGTTCTTCTGTTTCAGTAACTTGACGATCACTTCTAGCGAGTATTCAACTCTCCTCTGAGGCCATCTACAATCTGCATCCATGAGAGAAGTCAAGAATTCATTCAAACCCTTTGGATTTTGACTTTCTTCATCAGATGTAGAATGCTCGTACTTGGGGATTTTTCTTGATGGTGCTATAATTTGGGTCTCAATCTGGGCAGTTGGCTTAAATTCAAGCAAAAATCTCAGAAGCTCGTTCATGGAAGTTAATGGGGTTTCACTTAATTCGCGGTATTTACAGATAATTTGTTGAATTTTCCTTCCATGGCAAGTGCTTTTGAAGTCATTGATGATCATATCGAGGTCTAATTCGGCTAGAAATCGCACAGCTCCCCTGTATTTATCATCTGTTATATCAAAACTTCCATGCGCAAATTTATAACCCCAGTTCCCAAACCATGAATTCTCGAAAGCGACTCCATGAATTAACCTTAACTCCATTGATCTCTCCAATTTAACATCAGCAACTGATACTTTCCTGCACAACGTAAATTCATAACAAAATGTAGAATCAAATAATGCATTTTGAGTTTTTGTTAATTGATCAAATCGAATCATTATAATCTTCATAAGTAATATGATTTCTATTGAGCTCTTAAATTGAGATCAAAACATACCTTGTTTTAAGTGAACTGCAAATGCTGTCCCAGAGATTCATGACATCGGTTTGTGTGAGACAATTTGAAGAACCCAATTCTAATTTATTGATAGAAATTAGATGACCAAAACCATTGCAGTGAATTAATCCATGTAAGATATGTGTATCATCGAGCTCCAAACTGTTCTTCTGATCATGATCCTTTAATGGTTGTTTATCACCATACGGTGGAATCATAAAACGGTACCTTCTCTTACAAACAAAATGATGACCCCATCCTTCAAATTCATTCACAAAATCACAATTCAACAATCCCAATTTCGAGATATATAAGTTAAATACACACATACATATAGCGAGAGTGAACTGACCGACGGATTTGCAGTGACAGCAAAAGGGGGAAATGGAATGATCATTGATGAGTTCTTCGATGGTGTAAAGAGGGAAAACAGCACCGTTTGATTCGCAGAGAAGGAGAGTAGACCAGACATTGTTGGAAACGGTGGCAGTTAGTTTCTGTTGTTCAATCTGCTCACCATATTCATCAAGAAACGATCGGATGTTATCACGAAAGGGACCCGAAAGATCAATTACCGATTTCCCAAAACTCTTGAACTCGAAGATTCGTTGTTTTCTCTTTCTACTGATATTGTTCTTAATACAAGCTTCCAGCGTCGCCATGGGAGAGAAGAGAGAGATGAAGAACCGAAAATGGAGGAATAGAGGGTGTGGGGTGGAGTGGGGGGTTTGAATGGAAAAAGACGAATATGGACCTGTGAGGGCGGGAGAATGTGGAAGAGATGTAGGGGTAAAATGGTAAATTAGGACGTAACGAAATATTTTCAGTAGACTTGTGTGAGTATTTAGAGAACCGACTTTGTTGTGATAGGGCAGTGAGTACGTGTGTTGCTGTGGGTCCCAAAGTGTAAGTTTACTTTCACCCCCTGAAGTTTCTTTTCTTTACTATTTTTCCTCTTTGTTTTCCTTTTTTAACAATCTAGTCCTTGTGTTGTGTTGTGTTGTGTTGACTTTCTTACATCCTCGAATCCTTGTTACGGAATAAAGTGACTTTTCATCAACAAAGGGCTCGTTTATCGAAAATTTACCCATAAACATTTGTTGGTAAAATTTAACAATATCACTTGTATATTATATAAGAGTTTATTTGTAAAATTCAACATTATCACTTACTTACCGAGTAAGATTTTTTGTCAACAAAAACGGCATCGTATTCAACAATTTACTCGATAAATACGAAGAGTCGTCACCTTCACTTACCGGATAATACTTTTGGTCTTTGTCTCACTCTTACCGGGTAAGATTCTTAGTCCTTACCATATTCATCCGTGAAAGTATTGTAACTTGATAAGCACTTATCCATATAAACGTTTGGTATACGACCCTCTAAATATGTCTACCGTAGTATTTGATTTCTTATTCTATAGTAGTTTTTTTTTGGTAAGGGTGTCCGGGCCAAAGCCCGACTAATCCCCGGCAAATTTGGAGGCTAAACATGGCCCCACTTAAATGTCGCCAACACTCCTCTCCCAGGGCTCGAACTCGGGTTCATGACTATGTCATGCCCAAGCCTTTACCACTAGGCTGGAAGGTCATAAAATTATTGCGTGGTTATGAACTTAGTAAAATCGTTTCGGTTTATTGTTTTGAGTGTAGTCAAGTATTATAGTCCATAAAATACAATACCAGTAAATTAAATCAACTTTTGATTATATGACAGTTATAAAATTCATCGTGTTTGGTTTTTTCATATTTACCTTAAGTGTTTATGTATAACATTAACCTGTGAATTAAACCATTCAAAAAGTTGAGTTAGGGATGGTTTACCAAATTTTTTATTAAGTCATGTATGGCTTGTCTGTCTGAATAAATGAGTATTGTTGTTTACTTTTTTTATCTGAACTAACAGTCTGAATAACATAAATGACCGATTTACCCCTTAATATTAATTGTTTGAACATAAAAAAAATCATAAACAGGCCGAAGATGAAGTGTCTCATATGGGAAGGAGGCGATGTTTTAAATAAGGGGTAGATGTGTCATTTTTGTGGCTGAATGAGAACAACACACTATTTTTATATGTACGATTAAGCCATGTTCTATACAAATAAAGCATAAGTAAACAACTCAAATAAACTATACTCATAAACCAAATATACCAATAAGTCTAATTAACATTTTCTTAATAAATTGCTCTTTCTCATAATAAAAACACACGTAATTCTTTAATTGCAATATCACTCATCATCGTTTAGCAGGTCAGGTCAACGGTCGATCGAAATTGCCAGTTTTCTTCCGATTCCGAGTAACAAAGATTCCAAAATTTCAACTCGTCGGCAGACCCAAATTGGGCATCTGAGCTCTCGATCTTCTTCTCTCTGAAGGCTGAAGCTACATTTATTCCACTCAGAATCTTGATTCTTTAATGGCGGATGCAGCTGTGGAGTTCCTTTTGGGTAATCTGAAGCAGCTGCTAGTCTACAACGCCCATTTGATCTCAAGCGTCAAAGATCAAGTCGATTCCCTCTGCAACGACCTCCGTCTACTGGCAGCTTTCGTCAAGGACACCACCGAGAGCCGGAGCAAGCACGCCGTCGTCAAAGAACTCGTCAGACGAATCAGAATCGAAGTCTATAAAGCCGAAGACATCGTTGATATGTACGTCGTCCACGCTTCCGTCCAGAAATCACGAACCAGTCTCGAGAAAGCCTTCCACATCACAGATTATCCCCTGAAACTCCGAACCGTCGGTAAAGAGATCCATGATATACGTCGACGCGTGAAGGAGATCTACGATAATAAAATGTTCGGCTACGAAGCTTTAGGGCGGAGAGAGTCTGTTACCAGATCTCCTCCAGCTGTGGAGGAGGATAACGTTGTGGGTTTCGATAAAGAAGCTGAAAAAATGGTGGGGTGGCTCAAGGCGGAGATGGAGGAGCTGGATGTGATCTCCGTCGTGGGTATGGGCGGATTAGGGAAAACAACTCTTGTTAAGAAAGTTTATAACGATCCATCGATTCAATACGAGTTCTTCATTCGTTCTTGGGTTTATGTTTCCCAAGTTTACAGTCGAAGAGAAGTGTTTCTTAAAATCTTGCACGATGTTACTCGAGAAAACAAAGATACATCAGAATGGAGTGTGAACACCATAGCTGATGAGCTTCGTATCAAATTGCAAGATGGAAGATATCTAATTGTGTTGGATGATGTGTGGACTAAACAGGCATGGGATGATCTAAAAATGGTGTTCCCCAACACCAAAAATGGGAGTCGAATCTTGTTAACGAGTCGTAACAAGCATGTGGCACTGCACGCTAACACGAATCGACCGCCTTATCAGCTTCGGTTTCTAACACCTGATGAGAGTTGGGAGCTCCTTGGAAAGAAGGTTTTCCCTAGAGGAAGTCATCGCCCAAAAGAATTGGAGGATCTCGGGAAGCAAATTGCACGAAAATGCTATGGTTTACCGCTGGCGCTAGTCGTGATTGCCGGAATTCTTCGAAAGAAAGACAAGACGAGAAGTTGGTGGGAGAAAGTAGAGGAAAAGGTGAATACTTATGTAGCAATGGAGCCAGAGCAATGTATGGATGTGTTAGCATTGAGTTATAACCATTTACCGTACGATTTGAAGGCGTGTTTCCTGTATTTTGGTGTTTTTCCGGAGGATTTTGAGATACCCGTTAGGAAACTGATCCATATTTGGGTCGCTGAGGGGTTTATTCAGCGAATTGGAGACGCGAGCGCAGAAGAGATGGCGGAGGAGAACTTGCAGGATCTTGTGGACAGGAATCTGGTGTTGGTCGAAAAGAGGAGGGCGAATGGCGGGATCAAAACTTGTCGAATTCACGACATGCTGCACGATTTGTGCGTCAAACAAGCCGAAGAAGAGGATTTCTTCAAGGAGATCAAGGGTTTGGAACCTTCTTCTTATATAAAATCCGTGAGTCCAACTGTGTTTAGGCGTCTTTGTGTCCATACCCGAGTTTCCGATTACGTTTCCTCGAAGCCAGATTCTCCACACGTCCGATCTTTCCTGTGCTACGCCAAGGAAGAAACGGTTTTAGCTCCTGATCTCATAACCTACTTTCCTGGTTCGTTTCGATTGCTTCGAGTTTTGGATGTTCGGCCTATCAGTTTCCCTCGTTTCCCCAGCATCCAACTCGTTCATTTGAGGTACATTGCGTTGTTAGGCACGTTTAAGGTTCTCCCGGCAGCCATTTCAAACCTTTGGAACCTGCAAACGCTTATTGTAGAGACCACATTTCGTAACATTGAAGTTCAAGCAGATCTCTGGAAATTGTTGCAGTTAAGGCATGTTTATACTAGTGCAGCTAGCGATTTGCCAACTCCATCTTCGAAATCCCGAAAAGGTGTTAAAGACCCTTTGGTCAACGAAAACCTTAGGACCATGTCGAAAGTGTCACCAAACACTTGTACGGATGTGATCTTCGCTAGGACACCGAACCTGCAAAAACTTGGTGTTCGTGGGAACTTGATGTCGCTTATGGAAGAGAAAAAGGGTAGTTGTAAGTTCGATAACATTGCGAAATTGACTCACCTCGAGACGTTGAAACTGTTGAACGACACGTATCCAATTTCACCATTGGATGGTAAATTGCACGGCCTTCCGGGATGGTACAAGTTCCCGCCGAAACTAAAGAAACTGACGCTATCCGACACTATGCTGAATTGGGAACATATGTCTGTTCTTGGGAAGTTGCCGAGTCTTGAGGTTCTGAAACTCGGAGACAATGCTTTTGTTGGCGAATGTTGGGAGACTCCAGATGGGAGTTTCGTTCGACTACGCGTTCTTGAAATCGGGAAGACAGATTTGGCGATTTGGAAGGCTGCTGATGATCAGTTTCCGCAACTTCAACGGCTTAGTTTGAAGCACTGTGAACAGCTTGTGGAGGTGCCTTGGGGTCTTGGAGGCATAACAACACTTGAGGTTGTGGAGTTGAGTTGGACTTCTCATTCGGCTGTTGCTTCTGCCCACAGGATTCAAAAGAATTTCAAACTTGTCATCTTCCCTCCGGATCAAGAAACTCAAACTTGAGAGCTCTACTGGATGTCATCTAATGATCGTTCTTTGAGTTTCATCTTCTCTTCGTATAAGTAACAAGTAACAATGGTCATATGGTTCTAGGACATGTCGTTTGAGTTGGCATAACAATAAGATTATTACTGATGCATCTAAAACTTTTCATAATAATAAACGATTTTCAATATATGCAAATTAACCACCTATGAAAATACATTTGATGTTTCAGATTTTATCTCATTAACTATTCATCGAGGAATTACGTTTTACGTTTTATCTTAACTCAATGATTCTTTAAGAAGATTATAACTATCATGCAACGCACAGAACCCACAGCGGTATCAAATAATTGATCAAACTGGTTAACATTCAAGTAATTTGACATTAAACTTAGGAATCCAACAAAGAAACCTCTCTCAAACAATTACAACGGAATCTCAAGGTTGGAAAATATAAAAAATCTGAAGTTTTTAGCCATGCATGCCTAACTTGGAATCACAGATTGAAATGTGCAAGAAATTACCAAAAACAATGAAAAATTAATGGTTAATGCTCACCAATCTCCTTCTTGAGTTCCCTGCGTTTTTCTCTTAGGTTGCGTTTGGTTTGCGGGATTGGAATGGATTTGGGGGAATTTGGATTTGAAATCCATTCCAATCCTGTGTTTGGTTTGTAGGAATGGTAGGATTTCAAATCCAATGATTCATTTAAAATCCCGTGAACCATGGATTTCAAAATCCTTTGAAAATACATGGGATTTCAAAATCCCATCCCCGTGGGATTTCATCTTCTCCATCTTCTCGTCTCCATCTTCTCCCATCGATTGCTTCACCCATCGCTTCCCTCCCATACGCCTCCCGCTTCCTTCACCCATCGCTTCCCTCCCATCGATTGCTTCACCCACGCCTCCCGCTTCCTTCACCCATCGCTTCCCTCCCATCGCTTCCCTCCCATCGATTGCTTCACCCACGCCTCCCGCTTCCTTCCCGTCGCGTCCCTTGCGAAGCTGTGCCCTAGGTTTGCCTCCTCACCGGTGCTGTCTTCCTTCCCGTTGCGTCCCTTGCGAAGTTGTGCCCAAGGTTTGCCTCCTCGCCGGTGCTGTCTTCCTTCCTGTTTGCCGGCGTCTCCCATCACTCAGCAGGTAATCGATTAACCCCTTTTCTATAGCATTAGAAATGCTCGATTCTGGTCTGCTTGAATAGAAAATGCACAAGGGTTCTGCCCTAATTTCCTGTAATCAAATCCAAATCCTGCAAACCAAACACAGGAATGGATTTTAAATCCAATCCAATCCAAATCCCATGGAATCCAAATCCCTCAGAAATATTCCCGCAAACCAAACGCACCCTTAGTCGATCCCCTTTCAAAGATGAGACTGTCCCTCCAAACATTCTGACGGTTTAATCCGCACAACAAACAAATATCAACGTATCAAAATACATGATTTAATGGAAAACCAACCAAATAGTCCTTAGTCATCCATGGGGCCAATTTAACATCCTAGGCTCATTTATGAGCGTTTGGGCATGAATAACATCATTAGGGACTAAATTAGGTAAAATAAGTAAACTAAGGGGCCGTTTACCAAACGCTTATCCGGGTAAGCGTTTACCAAGTCACATTGCCTTACGAATCAACATTGCAAGGATCAAGAATTTTACCCAGTAAGAGCGAATGCAAGGACTGAGAGTCTTACCCGGTAAGTGACGGCGACGACTCTTACCACGGTCACTTACCAGGTTAATTGTTGCATACGATATTGTTTTGCTGGACCAATATCTTACCCGATAAGTAAATAATAGTTCTGAATTTTGCCAGTAAGCACTTACCCAGGTAAGTATTGGTAAACGTCCCCTAAATATCCTAGATCTTTTTTTCCCCACAAATCTACCCATGTGACTGCTCCCTGTCGAAAATCATAAAGTTATTGAAGGAGTTCATATGCTCCCAAATTGTGAAATATGCGATTTTAAATATTTGCAGGCATGTTTATGCTTGTTTTCTATGGGTATTGAATTTCAGCTCAAGTTTAGCCAACTTCACAAACCAATTAACATAACTTTCATGATTTGAAAATCAAATCAGCTTGTTTGGAGCCTCATCTCCACTTACCAACCTGATTTGAGAAGATTTTAGCATTAATGCAACCACATGTCAAAAGCTTACTAACCTGGGAATGCTAGAAATGTGACACCAGAACCATTGTTGGTTCCTTGGACTTTCAAAAAAGAGTTCCCTTGGCTCTCTTGCTCTTTCTGGATATTTTGTGCGGAGACCCATGTGGATCTACTGCACCCTCGTACCTCGATCACGTCTAGTGTCAAAATATTCCCTACATCTGATGGGATGCTGTTGAGTTTTGAACAATGATAAATCACCAAACGTTGTAAACCTGGGAAGTTATCTCTTGAACACACCCATTGCCTCAAGTCCAGGTCATGCAGTTTCAATACCTTGAGCGGCCGAAACTCTGCATCACTTGTCTCCCACTTTTCTCCAACGAATGCATTGAATTTCAATTTTAGCACCTCCAGATTAGGTAGCAAGGAGAAGGTCCACATCTCTTCCCAATCCATGCAAGTATTAGACAACGTCAGTTTCTTAAGGTTTTCAGGGAACATAATAGGATTGCAGGATCTCGTTGGTTCAGGGTAGGGATTTGTATTTAATAACTTCAATTTTTGAAGGTGTTGCAAAGAGCGTAAATTTGGAAACTCTAGATCACCTAGCTTTGACATTAACGGTCCACAAAACCCAAGCTTCCTAAGATTGGGAGTCCTTGAAAATATATTGTTGCAAGATTGAGGACTTACTTGGGACAAGGTTAGCAGGCTAGCCAGCCCACTGGGACAACCATCATTCTCTGTGTTTTGTACAAAACAAGGCTCCTCCATAACATTTTCCCCTGATTTGATAGAAAGGTGCCTTAGATTTACCATGTTCCATATTGTTTTTGGTACAACAATATTCTTCCTCGATAATATTATCAGCATTTGTAGGTTGACAAGGTTTGAGATTGATGCTCGGGGACTTCCGTCATGAGCTTGAATGGCCAAGTATCTCAGATTATCAAGTTGTATTACATCACAAGGAAATAAGGAGATAGGGATAGACTCCAAATCTAGAATCTTAAGGGATTTGTATGTTTCACTAAGAACTGATCCACCCTTTTGAAGAACTTTGCCCATCTCAAATGGATAGCACAAACCATAGGGGTTGGTTAATGCAGGACGAGGATTTAATGACATTCCATGTAGCATATTTGTGACAGTACTTGAAGATGCCTGGACAGGAACATATCTGTAAATTTGTGGAGAAAAATTCTCTTCCTCGGCTTTTCTCAAGCATAAATCCCGCAACAAGTCATGGATGCGGCAAGCTTTAATTTGGCCATCAGCGCTTTTTTTGGCAATCATTAACAGACTTCTCTTGATTAAATCCATCAAGAAGTCCTTTGCAACATCCTCCAAGATTCTGTTTTCAGTTTGATGTATGAATCCTTGAGCAACCCATAGCCAAATCAACTTTGTTGCCGGAATGTCATAGTCCTCGGGAAATACACCAAGAAAGAGAAAACAAGTTCTTACGTGAGGAGGCAAATGGTCATAGCTTAAAGCCAGTGTGTCCATATATTGGCTTGGATCACGAACCATGTAGGAATGTAGACTCCCAGAAATTTCCGACCACCATCTATATGACAATTGAGTTTTCACAAGACCTGCAACTATAACGATTGCAAGAGGCAAACCTTTACATCTTTTTGCAATCATTCTTCCAATTCTCGTCAAATGAGGAGGGCATATTCCCATTCTAAATACCTTCTTCTGAAATATGTCCCAACTTTCATCTGCAGTACGAAGACGCAAAATATGAGCCGGTCTTGCTGCCTGTACATGTAAACTCACGTCTATGTCCCGGCTAGTAAACAGAACTCGGCTTCCAATTTTGTCATCTGGAAAATAAAATCTGAGATCAGTCCATGCCATATCATCCCAGATATCATCCAAGACCACCAAATATTTATGACCCTTTAAAAGTCTGTGCAGCTTCTCCCCCAACTGTTCATCACTCATTTTATTAATCTCATCTGTAAGATCACTGATAAAAGAGCTTAATATGCTGACTAACAAATCCCTCTTCAGATATACTTCAGAAACACAAGTCCATGCTCGAAAGTCGAATACATACTCAATTAATGGATCCCTGTATAGTTTTCTAGCCAAAGTTGTCTTACCAAGCCCCGCCATACCTGTGATTGAGATAACCTGTAATTGCTTTGCTGAAGTTCCAGTAAGTTGATCAAGTATTGTTTCTACTTCATCATCAAAACCCACAACAGGTTCTTCTCCTATGTGTGATCCATGTCTGATGTTACAGAGTTCTTCAATAACCTCTACAATCTCATTGATCATTGAATTTTGAGAGCCATACAAATTTTGGACGCGAGCCATCTCTTCCAAGCTTTTAACTAAGCTTTGTACTTCCTCATTTTCATACCCTAGCATCATCTTTTTTACGTGATTGATGAGACCATTTAAATGTCTTTCTATCACTGGTATCCCTTGTAGTCCTACCAAACTTAACTGATTGCCCATCATTGCACCATTCATGTCACTGAACAACTGCTTTAAGAGAAGAGTAAGAGCATCATCCATGGTTCTTCCCTGGTAGTGAACTGGATTCACAGCAAACGTACTATTTTCTCCAACTCTGTCACATTCCAGAGAACAAGCATTCCAAGTTGATTAATCTGGCTGGTCGTCAACACAACAGCATGTGGTTAGTGTTCAAACTACTTATAAATACATAAAATCCCATTTTCTGATGCTAACAGTAAAAGGACAAGGAGGCTAATAATCAATACATTCCATCCTTAACGTCAAATAAGTTTATAGATTCCTGTAAATCCTTTCACGTCTTTAACATCAAATAAATTTTATAATTACAATCTGTAAGGAGGAAAGCTATGGTTCTCTAACATTTTTCATGCTGTTTGCAAAGGGTTGTTTTCATAATTCAAGCCCACATTCATACAAATGAGTAACCATACACATTCTCTTGTGAACCCAATCACATAAAATAGACCGATCATTTCACTAAAATCACCAACACAAACTTCTTAGTTACAGATTTACCAGAAACATAAATAACGACTCGGTACCACATTCATCAATCTTTGGTCTTCATGTAGTCAAACTTCATACTGATTAGAAGAATTACTAAAACAACCGCAAATTTGTCTTGTAAAAAGCTAATCTTAATCTGTTAAAACCTTATAAATTAGAAAAATATTGGGGTTGCCAGTAACAACCATTCTGGCCCAGCTTATGTGTGGATGGTAAAATCAAACAGACAAAGTACAATACGCACTACCATTATCAGACCGATTAAGCTAGATGCCTAGATCAGCATATAAAGTAAGCACACAGAACCATGTTCGAGTTGAAATGCTAGGTCAGGCTCGAACTCAAATAGCTTGACCACTTCCTAATGCAAGCTCGAACTCGAAACATTCATCACAATTCACAACTTACAACCATCTAAAGCTCGTTACAATTTACATGTCTAAAGCTCGTTACAATTATTGGAGTCAAGTACAAACTGCAGTTATTGGATGAATGCTAGAGTTGGTTACGGCCCTGTAAATACCTATACAAATTTGGTTGAAATCCTAACAGTTGCAGTAGAATGATCGATAGAACTCACCGCAGATGATGATCCGAACGCAAATTGACCTTTGAGCTTGAGCGAGTTGACTGATTTTCATCAATGTGGACGAAGAGGATCGCTATCTTTCTCTTGTATTTAATATTCGTGTGAAGTACAAAACTGGTCCTTGGATTATTTCTCAACATACATATTTGGTCCCTTAACAAATTATCTTTAGTATCTAACACTAGAAAATGTTAATTGTTATCTTCAATATTCACTTTCCAAAAATGGTGGCCAAAAAGTCTTAATAACGAATTTGGATAAATTATATATGGTACACTTTTTATAATCATGTTATAAAATTAATAAATACTTTCTTATAATGAAAAATAAATTTAACACTTCGCTTTTCGAAAGGTGGTTTTTCGACGCTCACCATTCACTAAGTCCCAATATTAAAAGTAAATTATATTTTTGGTCCTCCGGATGACACCAATCAACAAGTTTTGTCCTTGAACTTCATTCATTATTTCGGTGTGTACCGGTGGTTACTACTTTGTTACGTTTTTTTTTTGTCCCAATGGTTTCTTGTCGTTGGTTTCGGTCAACTAAGGGGCCGTTTACCAAACACTTATTTGAGTAAGCGCTTATCAAGTCATATTATCTTACCGGATGAATATAGCAAGGACCAAGAATCTTACCCGGTAAGAGCGAGATAAGGAACAAAAGTTTTACCCGCTAAGCGAAGGCGACGACTCTTACCACGGTAAGAGCTTATCGGGTAAATTATTGCAAACGTGTCGTTTTGCTGGACTAAAATCTTACCTGGTAAGTAAATAATAGTGTTGAATTTTACCGGTAAGCACTTATCGGGTAAGTTTTTTATAAACGACCCCTAAGCCTGTTAACTTAAGTGTATTTTGATCATTTTATCATTTTCTATTATCATAAGAGTGAATTGCGTTTTTCAATCCTTGTGGTTAGTTAAAAATTACGGTTTTCATTGTTATGATTTATAATTTATTGTTCTTTCGGTCCTTGTGGGTTTTATTTTGGAATTAAGAGCTTGCTTTTGGATTTGGGTTTGACATTAAAGTTTGTTTTCAGGTCCACCGCTAGCCTCAGGCTAAAAAATGTCCCCTCACATTGGTATCTTTAGAGGCAGGTTCCTTGCAGGACTGATTAAAGTTGTTGGTTTTTAACATAAATATATAGTTGAAAAAAAAGGTTTTCAAGTGGTCTACATATGCTGAAAATGCTGTCATTTATGGTACAAACCATATCCAATCACAACCAAAGTCACTTTTAAATAACTTCTATCATCACAACAATCATATTCTTTTTTTTTTTTTTTTTGAAAGGCAAAAAGGAAGGATAAGAGAGCTTCGACATGGCCATCACCCTCACCAAGCTAACCACAACAATCATATTCCTTATTCATTCAAAGTTGAAAACAAATATGGACAAATATGAAGTCAACAAAGAGCTACAAACACCACATATATACTGTGGAGCAAGTTTTTTGAAAGATGTAATGCTAAGGTATAAATACTATATTTGCTCTAATTATGTTCTAAAATGTGTAAAACCAACATGATATAATTACTTAACATATCTGAAGGCTCGACTCTTGAGATTTGGTTAAGACCAACTTAATCAGAAATCCAAATCATACTAACCTGGCTGATCTATTTTTGCTGGTCTGTATGGACTTTCAAGAAACAATTCCCTTCCCTCTCTTGTTCTTTCCGGATATTCTGTGCAGAGACCCGTGCAGACCTGCTACAGCCCCGTACCTCAATCACATCCAGTGTCAAAATCTTCCCTATATCTGATGGGATAATCTCCAGTTTTAAGCAATGACGAACCACCAAATGTTGTAGACCTGGGAAGTTATCCCTCCAGCATACCCATTGCCTTAGATCCAAGCCGTGCAATTTCAATATCTTGAGTCGCTGAAACGTTGCATCACCTGTGTCCCACTTTTCTCCAATGCAGGCATGAAATTTTAATTTTAGAACCTCCAGGTTCGGTAGCCAAGCGAAGATCCACATCTCTTCCCAATCCATGCCAGTATTAGATAACGTTAATTTCCTAAGATTTTCAGGAAACATAAGAGGATTGCAAGACCTTGTTACTTCAGGGGAGGGAATTGTATTTAGCAACTTTAATTTTTGAAGGTGCTCCAAAGAACGTATATATGGAAATTCCAGATCACCTTAAAACCCAAGCTTTCTGAGATTGGGAGTCATCGAAGATATATTGTGGCAAGATTGAGGGCTTATTTGGGACAAGGTTTGCAGGCAAGACAACACATTTGGACAACCATCCTTATCTGTTACTTGTACAAAACAAGGTTCCTCCACAAGATTTTCCCCTGATTTGATGCATATGTGCCTTAGATTTATCATATTCCATATGGTTTTTGGTACAACTATATTCTTCCTTGATGATATTATCAGCATTTGCAGGTTGACAAGGTTTGATATTGATGGTTGGGGACTTCCATCACGAGCTTGAATGGCCAAGTATCTCAGATTATCAAGCTCTATTACATCACAAGGAAATGAAGAGATAGGGACAGACTCCACATCTAGAATCCTAAGGGATTTGTACGTTTCACTAAGAACTAATCCACCCTCTTGAAGTACTTTGCCCAACTCAAATGGATAGCAAAAACCAGAGTGGGTGTTTAATGCAGGAGGTGTACTTGAAGATGCCGGAACATGAGCATACCTGTAAAAATGTGGAGAAAAATTCTCTTCCTCTGCTTTTCTCAAGCATAAATCCCGCAACAAGTCATGGATACGGCATGCGTTGATTTGGCCATCAACCCCTTTTTTGGCAGTCATTAACAGACTTCTCTTGATTAAATCCATCATGAAATCCTCTGCAACATCCTCCAAGGTTCTGTTTCCAGTTTCATGTATAAATCCTTGAGCAATCCATAGCCAGATCAACTTTCTCACAGGAATGTCGTAGTCCTCAGGAAATACACCAAGAAAGAGAAAACAGATCCGCAGGTGAGAAGGCAAATGGTTGTAGCTTAAAGCCATTGTGTCCATGTATTGGCTTGGATCACGAGCCATAAGCGAATGTAGACTCCCAGCAATTTCTGACCACCATGTATATGACAATTGTTTTTTCGCGAGACCAGCAGTTATAATGATTGCAAGAGGCAAGCCTTCACATTTTCTTGCTATCACCCTTCCAAGTTCCTCCAAAAAATGAGGGCATATTCCGAATCTAAATACTTTCATCTGAAATATGTCCCAACTTTCACCTTCAGTACGAAGACGCAAATCATGAACAGGTCCAGCAGACCCTAAATGTAAACTCAGGTCTACATGTCGGCTCGTAAATAGAATCCGGCTTCCAGTTTGGTCATCTGGAAAATAGATTTGAAGGTCATTCAAGGCCTTACAATCCCAAACATCATCCAAGACCACCAAATATTGGCGTCCTTTCAAAAATCTGTATAGCTTTTCCCCCAACTGTTCGTCGCTCATTTTATAGATCTCCTCGGTAAGATCATTGATAAAAGAGCTTAATATGCTGAGTAACAAGTCCCTCTTCAGATATTTCTGAGAAATACAAGTTAATGCTCGAAATTCGAAGAAATACTCGACTAACGGATCCCTGTATAGTTTTCTAGCCAAAGTCGTCTTCCCAAGCCCAGCCGTTCCAGTGATTGCGATAACTTGCAACTGCTTTGTAGAAGTTCCAGTAAGTTGATTAAGCAGTATTTCTACTTCATCATCAAAGCCCACAACAATTTCTTCTGCCTCCATGGTTGAGCCGAATCTGATGTTATAGAGTTTTTCACAAGCCTCTAACAATGCGTCAATTCCTGATGGTGAAATCCCCATCAAAGCAACAATGCGATCCATCTGCAGTCGGATTTCTTCAAACAAACCTTGCACTTCCTTGTTTTCATATCCTAACATCATCTTTCTGAGGTGATTCATGAGAACATCAAAAGATGCATCTACATCTGTTCTGTCATCTCGTGCTTCAACAGAGGGCTTTATATAGCGTAGCTGGTTGATGTGGACAAGTAACTGCTTTAAGAGAAGAGAAAGAGCCTCGGCCATGGTGCAGATCTCTAGATTTAATAAGTATATCAGATTCTGTGGGATACACCAATTGTAGCTTAGGACATTGGTAGTCAACTGGATTGGCACTCTTTCTTAGACTTTGTTAAGGTCCACTGAACAAGCATTCCAAGTTGATTGATCTGAGGGATGACCTGTGATTTCCAAAGAAGAGATTTTTCAAACAACTTATAGCAATTCCTGCTTTTTGATACTGTAATCAAATGTCAAGGAAGCTAATGGGGTTATGTCTTCATCATAAATTGTTCTTCTCTTGCAAAAAGAACACTATGTTATCCTCTGAAAACATAATTTTAAGGCCTTGGTTAATTCAAGGTGAGGCAAATCTTATAAATGATAACTAGAACAAGAACAAGAACAAATTGCATGTATTCCTAAAAAGCAAATATATACACCACATAACACACAGATAAAAAGCAGAACAGAAGAGTGGACGCATAAAAGGAATTTTGGGGAACCAAATTGTCGTTCTCCTCAAATCATACCATGATAACCCTTGTTATGATATTTTGTTTTGATGTTAGGAGCTAACAGTCTAATGCAAAATCTTATTAGATAATGTTCCAATGTCTCCTTTGTGTAGGATCTTTAACAATGATATTAACACCACTGGTTATCACACTTTTTAGAAGTCTATGACACCATTCCAAGTATCTGAACTGAAACTAAAACCAATTTATCAGAGCTTATTACAGGTTTCCTAGAAAATGGCAATATTTGATCATATAATAGCTAATCTTAATGCTTAAATTGCATGATATTAGGGTTCGAGTCGATACAATCAGCATCACTGAGGTCGGCCGAAATTATGGATGGTAAATACAAGATATGAAGACCTCTACTGTTACCAAAACGATTGAATTAGATGAGCATATGCAAAGTTGCTTGAACCCTAACATTTGCAGTAGTAAGTTCGATTGGAAGTAGAAGAAGAACTCACCGCAGATGAAGATGATGATGATGGTGGTTGTCGCAAGAAACTACAACCATTCACTTCAACCGATACAAAACATGAAAAGAAGAGGATACATAAACTGTAATAACCCTTACAATTATATTTGTCTTGATGTTAGGAGCAGTGTCTAATGCAAAATCTTACTATATAATGTTCCAATGTTTCATTTGTGTAGGATCTTTAGTAATGATGTTAATCCCATTTACGAAACCAATGGTTTCGAGATCCACTCGGTCAACTCGACTCGACTAGGCTCGGTTCGAACTCGAGCTCGTCCGACAAATTAACGAGTCGAGTCAAGCTACTTAATACTCGACTCGAAGAGCTCGTGAAATACTCGATTATTTTATATATAATTAGTTTTAAAATATAATCAGTTTTCATGATAAAATTTATAAAATATAAAAAATATAAGTCTTATATTTTTAGATATTTAAATAAAATTATGTATTTTTTTTAATTATAAAAATTAATTAATTAATTTTTATTAAAATCACAATTAAAAAGACGAAAAAGTACAAAAAAAAATTAGTGAAATTGTCACACATTGAAAAAAAGATAGGTAAAAAAAGGGAGAAAATATGTTATAAAAAGAAAGAGAGAGATAATAAAAATTTTAACTTTGTCTTTTTGATGATAAGATTTGAAGTTAGTCTCTTTAGTTTTATAAAAACTAAAAGAATATCTAAAAGTTTTAAAATTTATAAGAGAAAAACTCTAAAATTTCATAAATTTCAATAGGTAAGCTTGGTTCGAACTTGATTGGAGTTCGAGTTTGAACTTGATTTGAGTTGCAGTTCAAGCTTGATTTGATTCGAGTTCGAGCTTGATTCGAGTTCGAGCTTGAGAAATAGTTATCGAGTTCGAGTCGAGCTTGATTCGAGTTCGAGCTTGAGAAATAGTTATCGAGTTCGAGTCGAGCTTTGATTTTTACTACTCGCGAGTTTTCGAGTCGAGTTCGAGCTTGAAAATTGGGTTTCGAGTTCAAGTCGAGTATATTGATATTCGAGCTCGACTCGCATTATTTACCCCCTAGTTTCGTGGGAGGGGGTTGAAGGAGGGTGATTTAACAGAGCAACGGTTAATGGAGTTAGGAGGGATGACAAAATACAACCTATGAAGTACAATAGAATAAGCCTCTACTATTAATTATTATCAGAAGGATTGAAGCAGATGAGCATAATATATAATATAAATATATAATAAATAAGTAATGCGATTTAAAGATAGAAGATGGTAGATGCGGATTTAAAAGGCAATCATAGTTCACAAAAAAAATCTAGATTTATAACATAATTTAACACTTTTATTTTCTTAAAAACTTCCAACCAAATTAAAAAAATAAATAATAATAAATTATTATTTCGATCTTAATTAAAATTAAAGTATATTCATAAACAAATTTATAAAAATAAATAATGTCAAATTAAAGAATATATTATTTTAGATTAATTTTTATGAGTCGATAAAAGATGATTAAATAAATGAATAATTTAAAGTTCAAAACGGAAATAAAATAAAAAAGTTAGAGAGATGAAATAAATTGAATAATCTATACCGTACTAGAAGGGTATTTGTACAATGTAGCGAGATAAATCTCGATTTTAGTGTTTAGTTTTTATTATTTGTCTCTATCGATTTTATATGGTTTTAAGAAAGCAATAATGTTTATTTTTTAATAAAATATAAATTTAATAGTTCTCGTTTTGTTTTAACTTTTTTAATTCAATTTATTTTAGATTTAATAACAAAGTAATTTATTTTTGGTTTAATAATATAATTTTTTATAAAGATAATAATTTAAGCATTCTGTTAGATATCAATAATTATCATAATTATATTTTAGATTTTCTATTTTTAAAATGGATATTTATCTTGTATTTGATTATGTTTATCTGCAGTTAGTTACTCGAATTTAAAAATAGAGTTTTAATAAGTTATACTTACATAAATTTACTTGTAATCTTGAATTTTAAGTAATATGTATCAATAAACAGTACTTCATGAATAAAAATGATTTTTAAGAGTTTTTATCAAATGCTTTATAATATAGTATAGATTATAAAGTATCTGATAAAAATTCTTAAAAACCATTTTTTATGCATGAAGTATTGTTTCATATTACATAAAATTCAAGATTACAAGTAAATTGTGCATATGTATAACTTATTAAAACATCATGCTTGAATTCGTGTAACTAACTGTAGATAAACATAATCAAATAAAGGATAAACATTTCATTTTAAATATAAAAAATCTAAAATATAATTACAATAATCATTAAATTCTAATAAAATACTTAATTATTATCTTTATAAAAAATTATATTATTAAACCAAAAATAAAAAAATATAACATAAATAAATACAGAAAAAAAAAAAAGAAATTTTAAATAGATAGTTTTGTACTAATATCAATATTTTTTTCATTGTTTATGATATTTTCATATTTATATTTTATTCAAAACTTAAGACTTTACCGTTTTCTCAAAATCACATAAAACCGTATCATAACATCGATTGAGACAAAAAAAAAACTAAAAATTAAAATCGAGATGTATCTCGTTACATTGTATGAATATTCTTTAAGTAAATAGAAAAAAGATAACAAATTTAACTAAATTTAAAAACAAAATTAAAAAAACACTGGCCGTATTGTAGCATTTTAACATTAAATAAAATATTAAAAAAAAAGATAATGTATATAATCAGTGCCAATAACCTAGATTACTATATTCCAAATTATATATGGAAACAAAATAAATTCCATATTAAATTAGGATTTTTAAGAGCTATAATTTAGTGGAAATCACATTTGACTCTTGGGGTAAAAGTACTAATTCATCTTCAAGAACACAACCTTGTTCTATACGTCAACAACTTCATCATACTCCTATGCCTACATCCATGTCGTCTTCATATGGGATTATAATCCCAGATTTATGCCATTTCATCATCGTCAATGCACAACCAGGTGAAGATCTGGATGAACTAATCATCATCAATTCGTCTCCAACAACCGATCATCAAGCATCCACCATCCATGACTACAATCACATCCGATCCATGTTGTTTGACAATGGACCTGCTTATACAACTCTTCAGATGGAATTCACAACGAATATTCACGGATCGGTAGCCACTGCTAGGTTCTTGGACGACGAAGACGAAGATCATGAAGCATCTATGACGATCGCGAGATTTATAATACACCACCAGTCTCTTTACGGCGCCGATGGCATATCAGAGGAAAAGAGTCCAGTTGAGATCGTTGGAATCGGGAAAGAGGAAGCAGGAGGTGAGATCTGTGTGATTTGCCAGAAAGCATATGAAGAATATGAGATGATGGGAAGATTATTGGAGTGCAGACATGGGTATCATGTAGAATGTATTAACAGATGGTTGCTACACAAGAACGTCTGTCCAATTTGCAGGGCTACAGTTTCTTGGTTGTAGCTTTGAATTAGGGTTCGTTTTGTGGTATTATTTTGGTTGCTTAATGCAAACACAGATTAGATATTGTTGATGCACTTTATTTAAGCTGCTTAATTGTAATATAAATATCTAATTAATGGTACCAAAAATATCGATTAGGGGTTCGGTTTTAACAGGTTTTGGCATGCATGCGTCTACTAGCGTTCAAAGTGTCGAGATTTGTTAGAGCATCTCCGAACTTCGGTCATCAACTGCTGTCATATCAGTTTTCTCTTTTTGTCATATCTGATTTATTTATCTCATACACATTTTATATACTTTATACCTACAATTATGAATCGTGGGAGAAGCGTTAAGAAGACATCTAAACCCTTCATCAATTTTAATCTCATGTCTACCTATGAATTGTATTTTAGAAGGGATTGATTTGTTGCATCTTATTAATGTTGACATTCAATTAAGATTAATTCAAGGGTGGAGATCTCTTTTTACACTGGAATATCATATATGAACATTATATAACACATGTGATGTTTATCATCTTTTTGGCCCCTAACTGGTTTGTCCTTTGTAATTTTTGGATTTTATTATTTTTCTTTCCACCTATTATATATTAAATTATTAATATCAATTATATATAAAAATATGTTTTTAAATAATACTAGAAGGGCATTCGTGCAATGCAGCGAGATACATCTCGATTTTAATGTTCTATTTTATTCTTTATCGCTGTCGATTTTATAATACGATTTTATGTGTTTTTAAGAAAACAATAATGATTTTATTTTTGAATAAAATATAAATTTGAATATACCATAAAAATTTGAAAAAAAAATATACCAATGTTAATATCAAATCAACTATTTAAAAGTTTTTTTTTTAATGTAGTTTCTCTAATTTTTTTAATTATAATTTAAATTAGATTTAATAATGAAATAATTTATTTTTAGTTTAATAATATAACATTTTTATAATATTAATAATTAAGTCTTCTATTAGAATTCAATAATTATCTTAATTATATTTTATATATTTTATTTTAAAATAAGATATTTATCTTATATTTGATTATGTTTATCTACAGTTAGTTACACGAATTTAGATATAAAGTTTTAATAAGTTGTACTTAGGCACACTCTACTTGTAATCGTGAGTTTTAAGTAACATGCATTAATAAACAGTACTTTATGTATAAAAAGTGGATTTTAAGAGTTTTTGTCAAATGCTTTATAATATAGTATAGATAAAGAGTTAATGTTTAAGTTATGTTACTAAGCTAAAGGTTTTTCTTATTAGTTTATAATAATCCAAAAACATAATAAATAAAATTGAATGTATAGGACGTTATTAATTTGCAATCATCTTAGTAGATTATCTTATAAGACATAATTTATAGGATTAAAATATAAAACGTCATATTTAAAGGTGTTGTAATAAGTTTAAAATACGCTTTTGAAACGTCCTGTCAAGTTTTTTAGAACACTTTTAACACAAAACGTCACATTGAGAATTTTATACGACACTTTTTTAGTGTCCTATAAACTCGTCTTTTTATATGACACTTGTTTTTATATGATATTTTTTCAAATAGTGTCATATAAAATTTCTAATGCAACGAATTGTATTAAAA